CATTTCAGAATAGAGACAACGTCGATTCCTTTTTTAAAGCCTATGGCCACCAGTTTGGGTTTGCAGTTATAAAAAAAAAGATGAAACAACATGATGGTATAATTAGGTATAGGTCCTTGGGATGTGAATTTGGAGGAAAGCATAATCCTAAAAAGAAAGTTGATATAAACGTCTATCGTGATCGATGATCCAAATGCCAGGGATGTGATTGGCATATAAACCTGAATTATTCTATTAATGCTACTTGTATTATGATCACGACATTCGTTAATACCCACAATCATGATCTTCACCCTGAGATCTGCAAATTTGGCACCAAATTTAGATCAATTGAAAAGAAAGCATTGGATGATATCAAATTTTATACTAAAAATGGAAATCTCTCGATCACTATACAGCGCCAGCTATTAAAAGCCAAGTACCTGGATATGGTTTTTTTGGATGTAGATCTTGCAAATGCTATTCAGTATTTTAAAGTTAAATCCCGGAACCTTAAAGGAGATGCTTCGCAACTTTTCTCATATCTTACTAACAAAAAATCTGAAGAATCAGGATGGATAGTTGATTTTGAACTAGATGATGACAATCGTTTAATTCGACTTTTCTGGATGACGCCCAACCAAGTAGCTCTTTGGCTTGAATATCATGATATTGTGTTGAATGATAATACAGCTAAAACAAATCGGTACCAAATGCCTCTTAGTTTGTTTCTAATAGTTGACAACAATACTAGATCTCGTTTAGTACCACAAGCATTGGTAACTGATGAGACGGTTGATTCTTACTAGTGGATTCTTCAATGTACTAAAAAAGCTACAGGAGCTGAACCATTAGTTTTTATTACGGATGCTGATCCAGCAATGGACAGTGCACTTAAACGGGTCTATGAAAACACCAAATCATTATATTACATTTATCATATTTATCAAAACCTTCTTAAAAACCTTAAGGTGGCATTAGGTAACACCTATGATCAATTTATTAAGGAATTCTTTTGTTGTCGCAATACCCTAGATAGTGAATTATTTGAAGTAAGATGGCAAGGGTTATTGCAAAAATTTCCATCCTCTGCAAGCTACTTAAATCGAGTTCTTTATCCAAGTCGGCATGCATGGGCTTGTGCCTTCACATCCAAAATTTTTATTGCCGAAATTCAAACCACATCACGTGTAGAATATTATAACAACATTATCAAACGATCACTGCATAGTACTAGTAGTTTATGTGACTTAGTCAAGACTTTAGACTCCAGACTTGAGAAAGAAGCTGAATGGAATCGGTTTTTCCAATATCAAATTTTATCTTTGTGCATAGGTATTGCCCCCGTCGGAAGTGAAATATTTCCAGCCATAGACCAAACAATGTTGGAATACTTGACACCACATATTCTTTCTGTGGAACATGTTGAAATGGCTCAATGCCTATATTTTAATGCAACCTTGGTTAGTTTGGAGACAATCGAGTTACATAATGAGGTTAGGTATACAGATTAACAACCTAAAGTGCTAATATACAATTACAAAATAGCACTTAAGGCAGTCGTTTAATAGTTTTTTTTTCTTTTAGAATCTCTTGCAATATAGGTAACTTCTTGATGAAATGTATTATTAATCAATTGATTATTAAATAAGGTTATTTATACTGCAAGAGATCCTTTTGACGTATGAATATAACTCTTTGTAGTTGTTAATTAGTATTATAGTTTCAAAAAATAAGGTTACTAATTACTAGTTAATATGTTATTGTTATTAGGATGAAAGCATCGTGAACAGTTTTGTGGAAGACATTTATGACGCAAGGCAAATTTTGCTCAAATCAATGGTCGCAGAAGTTAATCAAGATGATATTAAAGAAATTTGGCAGATCACAGATAAAAGGCCAGGGAATAATCAATGGCAACATTTTGTTGTTATTATTAATTCAGTTTCTTACTTATGCACATGCATATCTAATGTTTCCCAGGGTGTAATATGTCAGCACTATTTTCAAGTACTCTTAGTATCAAAAATTGCAGGGTTTCATATCAGAATGATAGCATCACGCTGGTATTATGATAATAAAAAAGAAGAGATGATTGATCAATTAAATATTATATTTGTAAATGAGCACACGATTCAAGATCAACAAATCACACAAATCATTTCCCAACCACTCATTATGCCTCGCTCAATATCAGCAAGTAATCGATGTGTAGCAGTTAGATGTTCTAAGTATGGTGAACTGTGGGGTCTTGCTCGGCAAGCAACCCAACTTGCAGTTGAGTATGACGGTGATAATGAAATGGTACAATGGCTGAGAGCGTTTATTGATAAAAAGAAACGTTCTATAACAAACAATGAAAATAGAATGCCAAGCACTGGGTTTAACAATTGTGACAATGAAAGCAATTTAGAAATTGCTAATCCACTGGTTACTAGGCGTAAGGGTAGACCTGAAACTAAACGTTATAAGGCTACAATAGAGAGAGCATGTAGACAGCTATATACTTGCCGCAACTGTGGCCAAACTGGTTATAATAGCGCAAGGTGTGAAAAAAAGTAGCTAGCTCTAGTATGTGGTACAAACATGTATGTTGGTTAGAATCAGTGGAATAAGGGTAACATTTGAAATTATGTTTTAGTTTTAACATTGAATGCTTATTATTGTAAGACAAATTTGATAACAACACTGTGCTATAAATTGCAGAACTAGTTTTTGCTTCTTTTTTTGTTTGTGATTACGAAATATTTTTCGTTCTAAAACTTATTATTTTAAAAGACCATGATTCTACATAAGAACTAGAAAATTAATGTGATCTAAACTTATGCGTATGAACTTATAGGATTTATAAAATTTGATTATTGTAAAGAGTAATAGCTCTACCATATTTCCTTTACACATGCAATTTTGTAAAAAAATTTACCTATAAGTTAGTATCCCTTAAACCATAAGCCGATCCAGGCAAATTTGCCTGCAAAAATTTATCCAATAATTGAGCATATTTATCCCGTTAAAGTCATGCATTTAAATGATTTAATATAGAGATTTACATAAGTTGTTTAGCAAAAACAATTTTGATCAAAAAATTTGCAGGCAAATTTGCCTGCAAAATGATTTAAAGGATACAAAATATTGTTATATCGAATGATCCTAATTAGACGTCCAAAATCTAATAATTTTGATTGAATATTGGACATCCAAGATTTAATTATAAATGTGGCTAATGCCAAAAATTACGATTAGATATTGGATTGGATACCCAATCCAGAAGTGTCAAATGTTTAATTATAGTTACGACAAAATACGTAGTACTAAATTATGTATACATCGTAACTGTAAATAAAATTCATAGATAACGATAATATCTAAATTATGCGCAATTAATTGATAATCACGTGACCCGTGACAAATTAAAATGTAACGGGGGGCAACAAATAAATTCGTCCTTATTTAAATTAATATTCGGACTTTAATCATCACATGTTTTAAACAGGTGAAAAAATGTTTTAAACTGTTTTTTTACCATCCCTATAATATATTCAATAACAGATAAATTATATATCAGATATATACGTAATTTAAAATCAGGCAACTAATATAAATATTACAGATTATATGACACATATCGATATGCATATCTTTGGTTGAATACAGAATTATGATGCTTTCAAAGCAAATTCGAAGGCAAATGGTTACAAAAAAATTTAGAAGGCTTATCAGTTCGAAAAATTGCCAAACACTTAGGTGTTAGCAAGTTTTCTATGAATCAGGTTCTCAGGCACTTTCAACGATATTGAAAAACTCTATCACTTTCAAGAAAACCACGTTTACTAAACACGAATAATATAAAATGTCTTAAAACTTTAATGAATGAAAATCTGGCTAGTATTTGTATGAATTTGGAACTTTGGTTGGGATATAAAATTAGTCGCATTACAATTTAAACAGTTATATACCGACTTATATATGCACATAAGAAAGTATTTTATGTATACTGTGTCTATATCTATTTTCTATTTTATAAATTTATATCCGTGGTTTTGTTAAGATTTATTGGTTAAAAGGAATAATCTTTTTCATAAATTTTCAAACAAACACACTAACATGTTGGGTAAAGTATTCAAATGAAATTTAGTAACGTTGAATGTGTCGATAGTATAATGATAAAATTCTCTGTAGAACATGATACATTTAAAATCTATATACCGATCATGCCGAAATCAATAACTTAACCGGATCGGCCGAAAAATCCTTCGGCAAATTGTATCAGGTGTCCCAAGCATTATGATAATAACTGTAAAAAGTTTTAGTCAACCCAAAATCACAAAACAGTCCTATAGAATGATCTCCTATCGGTAATTCCGGTAATTTTACTGAATAAATTGCCATCTCAAAAATTTCAGACATTACACTATTTTTTCATTTTAAGTAGCGTTCCCACAAAAAATCGTTCATCCCTGGTAATTTTGACCAATCAAAATTTAAGATCAAGTGTCAAAACAAACGTGTTTTGTTTTCTAAGTGAAAAAAGTTACGTGTAAAATGAAAACAAAGAAATCGGTGTTATAGTTACAGTTAGGATTAGAACAATATGGTGTCTATTAATAAAACGTCACGAGGAACATTTTTAATTAGACCGCAGAAGTTGGTTTCCTAACTAAAAATTAATGTTATTCTTGTTTTCTTGTGTTTGTTTCGATTTTTACGTTACATCTGATCCTGAAATTCGATTAGTCAAAATAGCAGGGGATGAACAATTTTTGTGGGAAAGCTAGGGCGTCTTACTTTTCTTTGATTCTGACTTAATGTCGGCCGAATCTATGATTAATTCCAATCTAATTTGATAGCTTAGCTAAAAGTTTGGCAATTTACATCAATTATCTCAGTAACTTACCATTTAACACCCTAACTTATCTTAGTCGGCCCGCCCGGCCTGTGAAGATGTGGGTCGGCCCTCGGCCGCCCGGCCGATGGGCCAGGCCAGCCCGTATCACTACTAAATATATACTTGGGTCAGAATTTAAAATTACATTTAGAAAGAATTGATTATATCTATTAAAGATCTGAGCTTATTATGCAATTTATAACTGGCAGATCCAATATGCATTACAAAATCAAATTTAATAAGCATTAAACCTGAATTTTCTACTATTAAAACATTTATACCTATCTAAAATTAAACAGTTAACAATAAGGGTTTATTTATTGTAATATGCGGATTAAGCAGTATTATACAAAGCATTCCTAGTCACCTTTAATCTACACACAATTCTGCATCGTTCAATAACAACAATATTTTAGCTTCTAAGTATGTCAAGTTCAAGATCGTTACCGTTCATTCCATCGACAATTAATTCACTGACACCGACAAGCTTATTTCATCGACAAGCTCATTTCACCGACAATACGATTCACGACAAGTTTATTTTACGATTCACCGACAATACATTTAACCAACAGTTTATTTTACGATTTACCGACAATGCATTTAACTGACACTTTAATTTTTATAAGTAACCATTTTTAATGGTTAAAGTTAGGTTGAGAACTAGTGTTGTCCTTTTTTATGTTCATGTTAATAGTAAAAGTATTTTGAATTTGACGAATTTTTCTTTTACAACCCGTACGTTCTTTCGTGATTTCTACACATCTGTCTTAATTTACGTTTCTGTACCGTACTACTTTTGCTGCATATCCTGAAATAAGCATCTATTACTTTGTCGGTGAAACGTACTGTCGGTGAATTGATTGTAACTGTTTAAGTTCTTTTTGAGATTCCTTTGCACAGTAAACGCTAGTACTCTTCTAAAGTTGTAAACGATGTTTGCAGTACTTTTTATTAACAAATGCCAAGATATAAATGTACTTTAAAACATATAAATAACCGGCACGGTAGTCTACTAGCATTGACAAATCAGATTGTTTTACAGCTATTAT